AAAAGCCTTGGTAGGACATCAGCACTTAAGCCTGCTTGGCTGTTCCTCTAAGAAAGGGTATCACAAAGGGAAGAGGCGTTATCTCCATCCATAACAATACATGGCACGGTGACTTTGGCATCCCAAGGGCCTCCGTGCCTCAGTGGTAGCTGCAGATAGGAGTGCGCAGCAGACAGAGTTCCTTAGCACAGGTACCAAAGAATAAACAGGGGTGCAGTGGCAGCAGCCCCTGGCAGGAAGCAGCTACTCCTTATGCATTCAGTTATTATTCAGGGGTCTTTTGTTCGAGGCTAAGTTCCGTGTGAGAGATAAAGGCAAGAGCTGGTAAAATTTGGGAGAGGACTGGTAGTGTGGCCTGGCAAGGCCTGGGGGAGCTCAGGTAACAATCAGCTCAGAGGAAAACTCTGATGAAACCAGTTCCAGCCATCACAGAATAAGGGGTACATGCCCTTCTAAAGAAGGTCTTTTTCAAAACTCTCAGAAAGGCCTTTAAAATATAATACATGGAAGCAAAGTCTGCAACAGAAACAGGAGGTGTCCTGCCCCATCATTATTGTGAATTAGCCACTTGATCACTGACCATCGCTTGAACATACAGGCACCGCAGCAGCAAATGGGTCTGGGTGATTGGAGGCCAGCTATTTGTCCTCTAGAGAGACAGAGCTATTAGGGCGATGTCTGGGTGAGTTATTGAAGGGGAGGGAGGCACTCATAGCGCAAAATGGGTCCTCGAAATAGTTTCTTGTGCGATGGCTCAGAAAGAAAAATGGGACTCCAGCCCCATTTGCTAATGTCTGCTGCATCTAGGCAGGGAGTGGGGTCTGTCCGTGAGCTTCATGTTGACATAGGTGCTGGGGAGACGTTGGAGAGGAGAAAACAGGCTGGAAACATTGCTGTGGGGATCAGCACTGGGGTGGGGAGCGGCTGCAGGGGAAGCAGCTGCATTTGGGTGGTGGAGGTGGGAGGAGGCTTGCTGAGTTTCGAGCATCCAGCCCAGCTCTGTCTGCCCTTAGGGCCCTGGATCAGTGCCCTGGGCAGCGACTGGGGGGAGGGAGGTGGGAGGGAGCTCCTGGGGTCAGAACCACTCATCTGAGACTGGCTTTGCAGTGGATACCTTCATGTGTGAGGGGTGCACCAAGGTCATAGACTGGTGTAATGCCAAGTTCTTTTTTGTTTGTAATATTTCAAATTCCTGGTTCCCAGGTACTGATCACCAAAACAATCAGGTGGCAAGGACCTGTTTACCTCATATCTGCTTAGGAAAGGAGGTTTTTGCTGGCCTTCGCCCTCACAGGAGCTGCCAAGAGCCTCTTCTCTTCTCCTGCAGCTCTCTCTTCCCTCAGCTCTTACAAAGCATGCCAGGAAGTCACTTTCTTGCCTCCTTTCCATGGGAGAAAGAAGGAGGAATAATAATGAAAGTCCATATTTACAAGACTTTACATGAAGACTTTACATGAGCCACGCATTCACAATGATCCTGAGGTGTAGCTGTTAATACTGGCCCCATTTTACAGATGAGGACACTGAGGTTCATTCACCCCTGCTTATTTCCTTCACAACGTGGATCACCACCTCTATTCATCTGGTTTATTTGTACCTTTGTCTGCCTGCCCACATACTCTGCGAGAGAGGACTTCTGCCTGTTTTGTTCACTGTGTAATGTCCAGGGCCTAAAAGTATGTGTGGCATGTCACAGCTTCTCAATAGGTTGTATCTTTCGTCACGTCTGGGATTTGATTTTACCCTACTTACAAGCTCATAATTTAGCCTGTTATTGTTTTGTGGGTGCTGGAAGGAAACACAAGACTCCCGGATCAGAAACAACAAACTGTATGACTCACAGCACAGCAAGTAGTATGAACATCAACATGTTTGCCTCAGTTCCCCATATCCCCAAGTCCCACAGGGCAACACAGAGGGAGGCAGATGCATGCTTTATACATACTGGGTTTACATCACGGCTGAGGGACACTGAGCTTGGGGAACCCAGCATTTTGTAGCAGGCAGTAAGTGTGCCTACTCTTTGTCCCAGAGGTGACATTAATTCATCCCTCAAGATTCCTCGCTGCAAACGTAACCCTGAGAAATGTCCCAGATAAAGAGCACTCATGGTCTTGCATTGTTAGCATGGCCAGCAACAAATACAGGTGCACAAGAGACCCATGGAGGAATGTCTCCCAATATCCTCCCCTTTCTGCACTTTTGAACTGCACCTGGGTACTTGGCAGGGCTACTTTGTATTAGTTTCTCTTTAATGCATAGGCCTTGCCTCCTTATCTGATCTAGACTATGAACTTAATGGGGACAATCCCTCCTGCATAATTTGTGGTCCTCATAACTGTCCAAGTTTGATGCACACAGCAGCTGCTTAGTAAACAACAAAGACAATGACAATGACAGCAGCAGCAGGCTTTGAAGTCACAGACCTGGGTGTGAATGTCAGCTCTGATTCTAACTCATGTTGTGACCTTGGGCAATTTGCTTGACCCCTCTAAACCTGTTTACTCGTCTGTAAAACGGGCACAAGACAAGGTATTTATTTCAGAGGGTTCTTGTAATTTAAGTAAATTAATCCAAATGTGGCAAATAGAAAAGTGCCTGGCATGTAATAAATATTCAATAAATGTTAGCTATTTATTACTGCAATTATTATTACTGAGCCCCTATGTGCCAGGCACTTTAATAATCAGTTTAAAAAATATAATCCTCATCTTATTTGAGCATAATAGATGTCATTATCCCTTTTTTGTACAACAGGAAACAGGTTCAGAAAGATTAAAGTAACTTTTACACAAAGTGGCAGAGTGGAGTTTTGAGTACTCTGTGCTATTTCTGAATGGTTTCATCCTTTCTGAAGGAGTGGAATTGGCGACACCACTCTTTTTTTTTTAACATCTTTATTGGAGTATAATTGCTTTACAATGGTGTGTTAGTTTCTGCTTTATAACAAAGTGAATCAGTTATACATATACATATATCCCCATATCTCTTCCCTCTCGTGTCTCCCTCCCTCCCACCCTCCCTATCCCACCCCTCTAGGTGGTCACACAGCACCGAGCTGATCTCCCTGTGCTATGCGACTGCTTCCCACTAGCTATCTATTTTACATTTGGTAGTGTATATATGTCCATATACACACTACCACTCTCTCACTTTGTCCCAGCTTACCCTTCCCCCTCCCCGTGTCCTCAAGTCCATTCTCTAGTAGGTCTGAGTCTTTATTCCCGTCTTGCCCCTAGGTTCTTCATGACCATTTTTTTTTTTTTTAGATTCCCTATATATGTGTTAGCATACAGTATTTGTTTTTCTCTTTCTGACTTACTTCACTCTGTATGACAGACTTTAGGTCCATCCACCTCACTACAAATAACTCAATTTCTGGCGACACCACTTTTAAATGAAATGCTTGGAGACCCTCACAGCCACCAAGCCACCGAGAATCTTACCTCGACTTTCCCTAGAAACCTGGCCTGAGGGAGTGGAGCGGGGAGAAGCTGAAGGGGAGAGCTGGGGTTGGGGCTGGCTTTTTGAGGAGCTGAGGGTGAGAACAGTGTGTTGAAGGAGGACCAAAGCAGAATTAAATCCAAATGCAGGTGATTTCACTGTGGTTGGGAAAATAACAGCTTTCTGGCCAGAGAATGGAAACCCCTCCCACCAGAGGCAGTGGGGCCCAGGCTCCCAGCAGCTGGGAAGGCTCCTGCACTCACCACAGCAAGCAGGTCTCCCGGATCCAGTGTTTGCTTTCCTTTCTCCTGGGATTTATGCAGAGAAGGCTGTAGAGCAAGAAACCATCAGAGACCAAATAAAACCAATTTAAGGCCAAACAGATGCTCTCTTCTTAAAGGTGCTCAGGGTGACTTAATCTGCAACAGAGCTGCTTGTCACCCCTCCCTAATTTGGGGGCCTCCTGTTGGGGAGAGTTCATCCCCTTCTCTTGGGATATGAGCCAGCTGGGACAGATGCTTCACTCAAAGACACCTGTGCATTTTGTCCCTGATCTGAGCTCCCTGCGAAGGGTCTGTGAACTCATCAAGCAACTCCAGGAAGTGGAAGAGGATCAAAGAACACAAGAGAATCGTCATTTAAGGGTCTTTGAAAGTCTAGCTGGATGTGCTGTGAAGAGGGAAGAGGCAGCTTCCTTGCCCAAGGGCTTCGTACAGAGAGAAGAGCTGTGAGGCCTCAAAAAGGACCACTTGCACCATCGTTCCCCGGGCACAGGAGTGGGGCTTTTAACATGCAGATTAGTGGGCCCCCTCTCAGACCCTCCACATCAGAATCTCTGGGGCTGGGTCCCCACAGTTAGCATTTTGAACAGGCTCTCCAGGTGAGTCACACATGGGTTCTAGAGGGCTTTAGCCTTATCTCTACTACATACTGGCTGTGTGATCTTGGGTAAGCTATTTAACTCTCTGAGCCTTAGTTTCTTCCTTATAGAGTGGAATAAAAATAGTACCTCCTTCACAACACTATTGGGAGGATTAAATGAGATTTTTTATGTCTCATTCAACATGGTAGTTTTTATTAAACTTCTTGTCCCCCTGCCATGCATTTTTTTTCTGCTTCTTCTTTTCAGTGGGAAATGCAAACTTATTTTTCTCTATTTGATGCACCCCTTTTCTTCTCACTGACAGGTGTTTGGCCCCTCTAAACACTTGTTAAAAACAGTGTTAAAAACCTTGGCAAAGCAGAGGCTCCGTGTATAGTGGCTACAGATGGCTACCACATGGCATGCTTCTCTTGAGAAGTGCCTACCTGGCAGTGCCCACTTTCAGATTGCCTTCTCATCCCTCCCCATAGTTAGAACTTAGGCATCCAGCGTTGCGTCTCTGTGTGGCCCTCCTCTCTGTCAAGGCTACGGACCCTGAGTTAGTCTTGTGGCTGCATAATGTTGCAGCCTGTGTTATCGATCTCTTGTGAGTTTGGTGAATGGGAGTTAATTCCTCAAGAATATTCCCCCCTGTGTCGGCTGACAAAATACAGTTTGTTAATTTCTGAAACAGAAAGCCAGCTCCCAGACCCAAGTTGACCCCACGGAGGAACAGGTCCTGTCTTCAATGGTCATTTGAACACGATTTCATCCAGATTCTTTCTTTCGAGGTAAGAGGGTTGCAAGTGGTTGCCTCTGCTGTGGTGTTGTCCCAGACATTGCTGTTACTCATAAGACATGAAGAGTTATTTGACTTTTGGAAGCGGGGGTAATGGTGGCTGCACATTAGGATCACCTGGTTAGTTTTAAAACAGATTCCTGGGCCCTGCTCACAGAGATTCTGATTTAACTGGTATCAGCAGGTTTTAAAAGCACCCCACCCAGGCGATTCTAAAGTAGAGTCAGGGCTGGGAACCACTGCTTTAAACTATGTGAATTTGCACATTCCACAAATATAGGCATACCTCATTTTATTGTGCTTTGCAGATATTGTGGGGTTTTTTTTAAAAACAAATTGAAGATTTATGGCAATCCTGCATCAAGCAAGTCCATTGGTGCTATTTTTCCAACAGCATTTGCTCACTTCATGTCTCTGTCTCACATTTTGGTAGTTCTCACAATATTTCAAACTTTCCCATTATTATTATATTTGTTATGGTGATATGTGATCAGTGATCTTTGTTACTGTTGCAAAAACATTACAACTTGCTGAAGGCTCAGATGATGGTTAGCATTTTTTAGCAATAAAGTGTTTTTAAATTAAGATATGTACATTGTTTTATAGACATAATGCTATTGCATACTTAATAGACGACAGTATACTGTAAACATAGCTTCTATATGCAGTGGGAAACCAGAAAATTAATGTGAGTGACTTTATTGCTATATTTGCTTTATTGCAGTGGTCTGGAACTGAACCCACAGTATCTCCTAGGTATGCCTGTATTGAGTGCTTATCATGTACCAGGCTCTCTTATAGGCCCTGGGAATACAGCCATGAATAAAAGTGACAAAAATCCTTACCCTCATGGAGTTTATGTTTTAATGGGAAAGACAGATAATAAATAAGATAATTATATATATTATATATATAAAATGTTAAATGATGGTAAGTACAATGGAGAAAAATAAAGGAAGTTAGGAGGGAATGGCAGGAGTGATTTGTGAGGCACTTTGAATTAGGGTGGTTGTTTTAGTCTGCTTGGGCTACTATAACAGAAATACCATAGACTGGGTGGCTTAAGCAACAAACACTTATTTCTCACAGTTCTGGGGTCTGCAAAGTCCAGGATCAAGGCGCCAGCAGATTTGGTGTCTGGTGAGAGCCTGCTTCCTAGTTTAGAGATGGCTGTCTTCTCCCTGTGACCTCACACAGCAGAAGGGGTGAGAGAGCTCTCAGGGGTCTCTCTTATAAGGGCACTAATCCCATTCATGAGGGCTCCACTCTTAGGACCTAATCACCTCCCAAAGGCCCCACCTCACTATCATCACATTGGGAGTTAGAATTTCAACATATGAATTTTGGGGGGACACAAACATTTCCTTGACCACAACAGTGGTCAAGGAAAACTTCATGGAAAAAGGGACAATTAAGGAAGACCTGAAAGAAGTTCCTGGGTTGAGCCATGCAGATTTCTGGAGGAAGAGTCTTCTTGGCAGAGTGAATAGCCAGTGCAAAGAGCTCAAGTCAGGAGTGTGCTTGGTGTTCTAGGAAAAACAAGGAGCCTGGTGTGGCCGGAGGGAAGTAAGGGGGAGAGTAGTAGTTAGAGAGCTCATGGTGGCAGTGGTAGCAGCTGGACAAGTTGCTCAGGGCCATGTAGGCCCTTGTAAGGTAGATTTTTACTTTGAGTGAGATGAAAAGACATTGGATGGTTTTGAGCAGAGGAGTGGCATGATCTGACTTATGAAGGTCACTCTGGCTGCTGTGGGGAGGCTAGACTATGAGGAGCAAGGATGGAAAGAGGGAGGCTGTGTGGGGGGTTAGGGGAGTGTTCGGATTTGTCTGGGTGTTCTTGTCCCCTCTTATTGTCTCCCCTTGGTGGAATGGCAGTTGTCGGGGGAGTTCGTAACCCTGGACTTTGTGCCGCAAGGTTAAAGGGAGAAATAAATCAGATATGAAAGTGTGCCTAACATTTGCAGATGTGGCTTCTCTGGATTAAGAGCCAAACAAACACATCATGACAATTTCTCTTCCTCTTTTGTCTCTTATTCCGCCTCAGATTCCCCTCCCAACCTATTCCTTGAGGATTCCTAGACACATTTTTTTCCCTGCAGTGACCTAGGTCTCTTATCCTGCTTTACCTCCCGCTTTTGACAGAGAGATAAAGGCTTCTGCATTGATGTGAGTGGAGATCTTACTATAGCGCCACCTGTGAAACAGCAACGGGCAGTAGAGATGCTTAACCTGTAAAATGTTCGTTGCACTGGGAAAAATCAATACAATAAATGTTGACTTAATGGGACCCCTTGGGGAAGGGGACTCTGGGCAATGTAACATTCTAGTTGATTGAAACGTAACCCGCTCCTCACCCCTGCTTTTTTTCCTCCCTTTTTTTTCCGCATTAGTTCTTGTTTCTGAGTCTAAAAATAATGGGTTTTACCATGTGCTTATCAGGTGCCAGGCACTGTGCTAGGTGTTTTACAGACCATTGTCTTATTTAATCCCAGCAACAACTGATGATATAGACGTTATCATTATCCCCATTTTAAAGTTGAGGAAATTGAGGCTCAGAGAAATTAGTCACCCAAGGTGGCGCATCTGGTAAATAGCTGAGCCCATCTGATACTGAAGATCAGCCTATCAGTGTTTGTCCCTCATGGACTCTTCCTGGGCTCCAGGCAGGGTCTCAGTGCTACCGTGCCAGCCACCTGGGAGATGCTCAGGGTCAGTGATGCAGGCAGGGAGGGAGCTCAGGGGCACGGGCTGTGCAGAGGAAGGCCTGGGAACAAGGTCCATTTATTATTATTATTTTTAAAAAATAAAAGCCCCAACATCAGCTTGTTTTCTTGTTATTAGGCTCTTCTAGTGGACTGTGGAAAAGCAATGTTTAGTTCATTGATAACAGTGTTAAAATGTTACTATAAGTGGTAAAGCTCCTTAATTTGGTATACCTAACTTTTATTTTTTGCAGGGGGTGGGTAGTGGTAGGGTGGTAGGCAGTGGTGCAAGGAAACCAACCTGAATTAGCTGTAAATCTGAAATCCAGGCTCTTTTCAATACACAGTTTCATTCCTTTCAGTCACAGTTGGTAACAGGAGCTAATGTTACCAAAGTGAGAACCTATTTTAATAAATAGATAAGAAAAATCATTCATTGTTCTATGAAAATGGATTCTTCCCTAGTTTAAAAATGTCTGAAAATGTTTACTTTTTTCAGAAGAATAAAAGCTCTCCTTGCCATTTAGTTTATCCTACTCCTTTGCGTACTAAAGCCAGTTTTCACAGATCAAAGCATAAGACGCTGATCTCAGCTCTGGTCTGAATTCCTGCAAAATTTGAATGAGAATTTCTGTTCTGGATAGCTTCCATGTGCCCCTTCAGACCCTCTCTCCATACTTCTCCACCCTGCACTCTGCTTCGGGAGGGGAGGCTGACCTGTAGGGATGACATCAAAGGCCTGACCATCCCCCACTCCTGTTACTAGCCCTGGGTACCCTGCCCCCACCTTTATAAATTGTCCATTTATTAACCTTTACTCTCCAAAATACCCATTTTGAGTGTGCCATCTACTCCCTGCTGGGACCCTGACTGATACAGGTTTTGAGTGATGTCTCTATCTTTATTCCACCTACAGGTCTGAGACATCAATTTCAAGGTGTTACGACCACACTACTAATTTGAATGTTCAAAGCTCCATACAGCTCCAATGATTGGGTAGTGTCTGGGAACACGGGGACAAAGGAACAATCATCACCTGGCCATCAGATTCCTGTGATGTGGGTTTCAGGAATCTGGGTATGGATAGATCATGACTGGGCAAAAGATAGTTCCAGATCAAGGGGTAATGCTAACCTGTCTGGCCTCTTTGCTTCCCTATCAAGATCTCTCCGGCTAGGCCTTGGGTCTCAGGCATGGGGTTAAGGCAGGAGACCCCTGTGGACTGGATTCAATGCCCACAGTTGGTCCAAGGAGCAGGATAGGAACACCTGGTTCAAGTAAGGGACTTAGGAAAGGAGTTTGAGTCAAGAATCAGACAGTGTGACCCAGGAAAACACTAGTTCGTGAACTCTTTGAGGGAAGACATTGTGTGACTACCTTGCTCACTGCTGTAGTCTCATGAGCACCCAGCCAATAGACTGGCAAATAGTAGGCATTCTATAAATATTTGAGTGAATGATTGAATACAAGATGATGAAAGAATATGCTGACCAATGCACAAAGAAGTTAGGGGGTTACCTTAGGGAGAATCCTATCCCAAGTAGGGAGGTCAATGTTTGGAAATGAGAGCTGTAACTTACCTTCCTTGGCTATAAGAGCCTCAGCCACGCACTGCACACAATCCTTTGGGCAAATTAGCCTACCAAAGCCAAGGACCAGAACCCATGATCAGTATGCCCACTGCAAGTTTTTTTTTTTAACTTTTTATTTTATATTGGAGTATAGTTGATTGACAATGTTTTGTTAGTTTCAGGTGTACAGCAAAGTGATTCAGTTATACATATACATGTATCTATTCTTTTTCAAATTCTTTTCCCATTTAGGTTGTTACATAATACTGAGCAGAGTTCCCTATGTTATACAGTAGGTCCTTGTTGGTTATCCACTTTATTTTATTTTTAAATATTTATTTATTTGGCTGTGCCGGGTCTTAGTTGCGGCATGTGGGATCTTTTAGTTGCGGCATGTGGGATCTAGTTCCCTGACCAGGGATTGAACCTGGGCCCCCTGCATTGCGAGTGCAGAGTTTTAGCCACTGGACCACCAGGGAAGTCCCTGGTTATCCATTTTAAATATAGCATGCCCACTGCTAGTTTTAAATAGAGAAGATTTTGTGAAAATGGGGATCTGATTTGACAAAGATTTTCTTGGAGCTTAAGTAGCTATTTGAAAATGCAGGGAGATTTTTTTCTACTGAAAACAAAATGTGCCTGTAAGGTCTCTTTTACTAGAAACATGGGGAATGCCTTTTTCAGGCATTCTTGTCGAAGAACACAAGGTCACATAAAAGATCTAGTGGCAAATCAGTGCATTATAGTTCTGTTGACACTTCCGCTGTCAGGGCTAATAGTTTTACTTAAGAGTACAATGTGCAAGTGGAATGTTTTAGGTTTTAAAAGTG